ACCTGGTGGATTCTATCCAAGAAAAATGAGTTGTCAAAATAGACAATAAAAATTGAGAGTACAAGCAACCATCAAGATGATAAAACTGTCACATCTGTGCACATCAGGCCACAACTGCATTCATTACATCTGAAGTCCTGGCACTTAATATTGTCAAGTGAAGAAGCTATATTCCATGAAGAGTTGCTGTTAACACAAATGTGTTTGAAAGAGATTTGACTGCTTGACTTATTCATGATTTTTCAGAGAATACAGCAAAATTGTCTTCAGAGGAATTCACTGGTATCTGGGAAAATTTGTCAAAAAGGATTAACTTAGTCTTAAACACTTTGTGAAATTCTATGATATTAATTTTAGGCGGTCTGGCAGATCTCATCAGTACGATTCTTATTTTTCAGGCACTCCCACACTAATTCGAATGTGCTTTCTTGCAGATAAATTCTTTTGATAGATGTTCCAGCATGAGAGGTGTTACTGAAATGGCAAAGAGAAAGGAAGAGAAGGGAAAAAGGCAGAGGCCAGAATCAAAGGCTAAGGAAAGAAAGGTAAGGAGGAAAAGGACTAAGGTTGTAATCACACAGAAAAGCTAGGGTTTTTTTTTTAATCATTGTGTTTAATTTTTCAGCTATCTTGCTGTAGTTATCTTGATCCTAAGCAAAAGTATTGTTGAGTTCAAGGGACCAAAATGTGGATAAGTGAGTGTCCTCGTGTTCATGTCCTCTCCTGCTCCCTCTCTTCTACAGCTTTTGTCTAATTCAATACTGGCTATTTTTCACTTGCTTTAGTCTAACCAGAGCAGCAAAGACCTGAAAGCTTTGATCAGAAATATTGTCATGCATCATCTTGGAATTTTAATGATTCCGGAATTCCCCTTCACAAGTGACAGTAACATTTGTCTTCTAGCCTTTAAAATCATTATCCTCTAGTTAGGAGAATTCAGAGTAAGAGACTTTGATCAGGATGAAAAGGGAAAACGAAAGATCAGTTGACACTGGATAAAGCACAAAAATAAAAAAGACATTTTACCAATTGTCTGACATTCAAATGCTTGTTTTCCTAAAACCACCAGCCTTTTCCACTGCATATCATCCTTAAACCATTCAGCTCTCCCTTCACTCTTAATCCCTTTGCTTTCAACCCATTACCTTACCTAAATGCACTGGAATTCTACAATCTCTGTTCTCCTGACACTGATATTTCACTCTAATTCCCATCTGGGACATAGAAGGATTACCTGAGACTGTTGGTCCTGATGTGCTACCATCATGAGATCTTCTATTCCACATGTTGTCAGGCAACTTCTGTGCCAGTTTCAGCCTTCTGGGTAGGTCCCAAGCAAGCTCTGGCTCCATTATCAACTTCGAACTGGACAGAGCAGTAGGCAACTAGTCTCATCAACACTCAGTGCATATGCAAATAAATCACTAAGAAAATGTATATCACTGTTGTACTGTGGGCAGCACAGCATCTCATTCTTAACTCTGTATCCTTATGCTTTAAGTATTTTTCAAACTCCTGATAAAGAATGTGGTCAGATTTTGGTTACAGAAGCATGGGTACTATGTAACATATGCAAAATAGGCAAAGTTTATATTGCCTTCAGGGAAAAGCAGGTGCTCTTTATTTCTCAAATTAAAGTACCTACGGTAGAAAAATTATAACAGAGCTGTCCGGTGTGAACAGTTGTCAGCAATAATGAGCTGTCTTCCCTTTTTCAAATTCACATGTAATCTGGAATGAAAAGGTGCTGATAACTGAAAATACCAATACAACAGTGGACCTATGCGTGCCAATCTCACAACTGTGTTTGGATTTTAATGTCCTTGGAAATACAACACAAGGACTCAAATCAGAGCACTGTGCCTAATTTTTAATGTTTAAGGCACTGGGAATTCTAACCAACATGATTTGGTCTACACCAATTAAATCTTATATTTCATAGATGCATACAATTAAAGTAATGGTTAAGGGGGTGGAAGATGATCCGAGACTCCTGTGCAAAACCAGGTTCCCTGCAGGTTTGCTTTCCACTTCAGAGAGCTTTGAATATAAATCATCTGTCATCAAAGGAAAACCACAAGGAAGATGAACTTTGAGAAAATACACTTTGGACTATGCAAGTTTGAGTTGTGAGGATAGGACCCAAGATTAAGGGAAACATTTTGCAAAATCTTTCCAAAGTTGTGCTCTCAACATCTAAGGCCTGCAGAAGTCCTACAAAAGGAGGAGCTCTACTAAGAATGACCAAAAATAAGTAAATAAGCCAATACAACTAACAAGCAAACAGTGTACCATGAGCCCAAGGCAGCAAATGCAACAGATAGGTAGATTAGAGTGGCAATAATTTCAGACAACTAATATGAAAGAGTACGAGATCAATACATTTAATGTAAGACATAAAGGAAACAAAATCATAACCATCGTCAATGACTAAAAAATAGGCAGATATTTTAAAACGCACACAGGACTTCTGGAAATGAAAGTAACAATGAGTTACAAGGCAGAGTACAGAAAGAATCGGAAGAGACAGTAAATACATGCAAAATGTTTCAGAGAAAAAACAGACTAGGAGGAAATTTAAAGTAGGAGATGGCTAAAAGTTTTCCAAAATTGGCGAGAAAAATGGCTCTTCTCAGTCAACACAAAGAACAAGTGTCCTGTGTAAATTCACACTTAGACATACTACACAGAAATTGTTGGGTATCAAAAGAAAAATCAAGGGAACTCATAAAGTGGATCACTTAACAATTAAAACAATGGAGATAGAATATTTAATTTTATTTAAGCCCTAACACAGAAGCAGAAAAAAAATCAAAATGTATATTTATTCTTGTTGTGAAATATCTGAAATATTTCTTTAAAATCAGAAACAAGGCAAAAATGCCCTCTGCCACTGCCACACCCCACTTCTATGAGTCTTAAAGCAATATGACAAGAAAAAAAAAACATCAAAAGGATAGCAAATAAACAAAAATCTACCACCTGTAGATGATGCTGATGTCTGCAAAATGTACCAGAAACACACAGGCACAGTCTTGCAACTAAGAATTAAAAAAAATAATCTGAGAAATTGGGCCCTGTGTGACACTTTAATAATGGTGCTTTTGGTCATGTCTTCTGACAGCCTGGGGTAATGTAGGTAAATGGTGTGGATGAATGAAATGCGTAGGAATCACTAAAGCCCCTTGGAGATTTTTGTCTTTCCCTCTCGTTTCAACTTTTTCTGCTTTATGTTCTCTTTTTGTCTCCTGTCGGCCTGAGAGAAGTTGTTGAAACAGCTTAAACCCACATGATAAATTAGAACACCACAGCAGGAAATATTGCCCAGATATTTCAACGTATACTTATGTCTGTCCAGATCAGCTGCAAAGGCCTCATTTTCCTCTCCACTTGCTCTTCTCCCAGCCAAACTCTTCATCCACAGAGCAAAGGCTGAAAACCTTCAGACAGTAGCATCCAACAACACATCACACCCATTATTTTGAGGCTTGGTTGTCTTTAAGAAATTTTAAGACAAAATTTATGTAAGGAGGATAAGGATGGTAACAGATGAGAAGCTCACTTTAGAATTTTGTTTCTGACAAAATAAAAACACATTGAAAGAAGTGCTATAGCTTCTACACTAACAAAAGATGATTCGCTATAATTTGAACAGATTACTACAGCTAGAATAAAAAATGTGTTACAAATTTTCTGAATGGGGTTATCTTTGGCATTGCATAGCAAACTAATGGCAGAGAGCATGAAGAATAGGTTTTTATTGTTGAAAGATGAGTTCTTTATTTATACTTTCAATGATGTAGCTTAGATTGAATTTGCATTTGTGCCTTGATGATAGTATCATTTCTGCTCCAACTTTCACTATTTCAATCTGGTTATGTAATATAAAAAGCTTAGCCAACTTCAGAGAATAAGGCATCAAGTAGTTTTCAAAATATCCACCCATGCTTATAAAGGAAAACTCAATGACCAAATACCCAACTTTGGTCAAAAGCACAATTTAAAATTCTCAGATTTTACAGATGTGTAAAAATATTTCAAGGGGAAGAGCAAAAAATATTATTGTCAAAATGATTAAGACTAATTTACACAGGTATCAAAAGTACATTTCTGCCAATATATGTAACAGTTCATCCAAACTTCTATTTTCACAACGATAATAAGATGGATCAACATGCATGTTCCTCTCACAGTGACACAAAAGGTACCGTTAACAAAGCAAACTGTGCAGCTGGGTATCGGGGTGTGGGAATTCTCTAGCCAGCCACCCGGACAGGAAGTTTGAGGAACTTACTTTTCGGCTCTTTGCACTGGCACACTGTAGTTCTAAGCTTCAGAGCAAAAAGCCCTATCTCCTTGAAGGCACAAACGATCTCTGAGAAATCAACACCTTATTTTGCCATGAAAATGATTCCAAATTCCCTGAAGTTTCCCTTTCTTTTGCTGTTGTAAAGCAAATATCATGCAGAGGGAGATACAGTGGGGAAGAGTACAGGAGTTGAACCCAGGAAGATGGAGAAACCACACAATGGCACAAAACTGGAGACACTGAACAAAGCACTTTATGATCCAGAAAAACCAATACAGCTGACTACATGAAAATGCCTGAAAATCAAATCCAGGAGATCCAGGACCAAAGACCACGAACTGACATCACCTATGAAATGCTTTAATTATTGAATCCCTGAAAAAAGTATATTCACATTTTAAAAACAATTAAAATGTTGTGTCTTCTTCCATGGTTAATGCTTTCATGTCACCATTAGAATAAATATGATAAAATAATTATTTTGTATTCCAAGGATGAATTTTTTAGAAATGTTCTGATGCCATGGCTTCCTGTTTCAGATCATTTTGCATAATTTATTCTTTACTAGTATCTGTATCAGACTTTCATAAAACACAGAACCAAGTAATTTTGTAAAACAATCCAAGCTCTCAGTATAAAAGCTGTTACTGTTACTCATTTTTTTTCCATAAATGTTTAAAAATAGACATACCTCGACAAATATAAAGCATGGGATGATGGAGTAACTTCGCTGAGTGTTGTTTCCCACAGCCATTTCTCATACCTTGTAGCAAGACTGTGCCGTCTAAAACTGTCCAGGCTGAAACAGAAAGAGGTTTCACGGTGTAAGAATTGTATACTGCAAAGTCCCTCAGGTACTCAAATAAAAATATCAGCTACCCTCTAGACAAGCAGGCTGCATACAAACAAGGCAAAATTGGAATCTGTAATACAGTCAAGTCAGGCTAATAGTCACTCCAGTGAAAAGCAAGTAATATAGACTAGCCACGAAAAGCCCAAGAGGCAAAATGAGCAGGTAGGGAGTCCCCAGTGCACACAGCTGTAGCGAATAGAATTCTAATTGCCCCGCACTGCATGGTGACTTAACCCAACAGACTCCGCACACCATGAAACAGTTTTTTTGTACAAAACAGTTCTTCGTGGCGCTTCCCTACCCGTGCCTGATCCTTGTGGCCTTGCACGCTAAGGCTCTGTTGGCTCTGCCCTTGCCTATGCCTTCAGAATTGACACTTAATACTGAAGCACTAATCTGACTTCCTCTTTGACCATTAGTTTCTCTCCGTTACCAAGCCGTGAACTACCTTGGGTCAATATCACCGATTTCTTGTGATGGATTCTCAGCTCTGCTATGGACCCAAGTGCAAAACATTTAGGAAAATGTATTACTGCTTCACTAACAAGAATAAAGAAGGTGGGAACAGCAGATTTATTATTCAATATTTTATTAGAACATGTCTGTCTTGCTTTGAACTGAAACTACTCTTGTCCTAGGAGATCAGTTAATTTTGGTTCCGCTTAACAACACCAATGAGGTTTATAGATTTTAGGCCTTTTCCTTCTAACTTCTATCCCAGTTGAAAATAATTTTTCATCTATACTTTTTATTCTCTATCCATAGGAATGTGGCATGTTTCAGGCATCTGTTTCTGGTATTTATTAGCTTTTCTTCTGTTTTGGTATCGTCTCTACCAACCGTTCTTATGGATCGAGGCGTGGGGTGTGACACGATGATTATCTATTTGCAAGGCCAACTGTACGTCAAAGCTCATGAGTTAGTGTTAATGTCTTATCATACATTTAAGTTTTCCTTCACCCTTTTCCAGAATAAAACCTTAAAAACATTTGTCTTATGAGATCAATTTTTTCACTATTAAGATTTTCTTTATTAAAATTTATGTGGGGATACTTCAAAAAGTTTATAGAAAAATGAAATTGAAGATTTAGTTTATTTTGGTACTAAAGTCTTTAAAATTCAAGCACTAGTTTTCATAACATTTTTCATAAACTTTTAAGTTTTGTCATGCTTTTTAAGTTTCAACCACTCACATTATTTAAATTATTTAAGCTCTAGTAACTTACTCTTTTCCATTAAATTTAGATACTTTCATTATCTTTTATGAAATGCCTTTAATAATCTATTATTTACTATTCTAGTTTTGACTATTTTCTACAATATGAAATAATCTATATTTGTATAAGTTAATGCATTGAATTCATTTCAGGAGTATGCTTTGCTTTATTTTTACCTTTAGTTAATTCTAATATTTCAAAATTCACTTATTGGCATTTCTGATTCCAAGGAATTCTCTTGTTAGCACCAAGTAAATATATTATCAGAAGAGAAAATTAAATTTTGATTATGTGTAAGTATGCAGGAATATCAAAAGCAAAAAGGCACTACACACTTAGTATTTTAGATGCATTTTCCTTAAAAATTAATAAAAATCAGCTATACAAAGGAGAAGATCTGGGAAATTTTTCTTTATTTTATGGTCCAAGATATTACCTAGCTTGTTCAATCTGCATGAAGAGGGATACATATTTTTTACACATACACTCACTTATACATACACACAGTAGAATTACATTGCGGCACACTTTCTATATTATACTTTGCTTATTTTTTTTACTTCTTTAAAATTTGTCATTTTAATTTATTTTATTATTCCATTTTATGACACAGTTTCATAGACTCTGGGATTCTCCCAACCTCTCCCCCCATATTGAATTCCTCTGTATTGTTACATATACTTTGCTTATTTAAAGTATATAATTTAGCAAATTTAGTAATCTTATCAACTTGTATAATTATCACACAGATTTAGCTCTTTAATACCCCAGAGATATTTTTATGCTTATTTATCGTTACTCTCCACAATCCCCTCCTTCACTATGGCTCAAGCCCAGTGGGACAGTTCATCTACACTGACTACACGTTTGCCTTTCCTGGATATCACACATAAATGGAATCACACAGAATCTGTTGTTGTGTCTGTCTTCTTTCACTTAGTGTAATGTTTTCATGATTCACTCACATTGCAGCACATGTCAGTAATCTTTTCATTTTTATTGCTGAATATTATTCTGAGGTTATAGTGTTTATCGGTTCATACACATTTGTCATTTTAACTTTCTGTTACACCTAAATTGGGCTGCTGTATGCAATATTATGGATATTAATGCTAAGAACTACTGTGTACAATCTGTGTGGATTTATATTTTCACTTCTCATAAGTAGACCCATAAGGAAATTGCTTCATCTTACATTACATTTAGTGTTAAGATAACTTACTTCAAAGCAGTTGTACTATTTTACATTCACAAGAACAGTGTGAGGGTTCTCATTGCCCATATCTTCACTCACATCTTTTATGATTTTTTTTTATTGTAGGCATTCTACCTGACATGAAATAATATGTTATAGTGATTTTGATTTTCATTTTGCTAGTAATTAATGATACTGAAAATCTGTATTTACTAGTCACTCTTCTGTGAAAAGCCATTCAAATTGGCTTATTTCTGCTGAATAAATTGATAGAGTAATTTTTTCACTATTCTGAAAGAAAGTCATTTATCAGATAAACACTTTGCAATTATTTCTTTCAGTCTTCTACTTGTCAATTTTCTTAATGATGTACTTTTATGTGTATTTTACTAGTATAAATTTTAATCACAGAACAACTTTGTTAATCTTTAATTTCAGACTACTGAATACAAATATTTTCTTACCAAATTATACCAACTTTAGTCTTTCAAGCTGAATTTTCAAAATGTAAATGAAAATAAAGAGAAAAATTCCAATGAATTAAATGTTAAAATTATGAAACACTGACAACTTATAAATACTAAATATATAAAAATCAGTCATGTCATTAGTAAGAAAGTCTGCTAGTAGCAAGAATTGATTTATTCCATAGTAAATGCTCCTTACTTTTCATTAAGCTTAAAAAAACCTTTAGTTCAGCAGAAATATAGACAAGGGCTACAAATAATGAAATGGTACGATGACTATTTTATCCATATACAGTAAATTTTAAAAATAAACACAAATCATTAAAACCACAATATTCTTCAACATTAGTTTAGCAAATAAACAGTCATTTTGAATAAATGGGTTAGCAATATTTATTAATGTAGAATATAATGTATTTCTTTCACCACAAAAATACCCTTACAAAAATTCATAAGAAAATCAGTGTCAGTTCTATATACTAACAATGAACTATCCCCCCACCATTAAGAAAATAATCTCATTCACAATAGTATATAAAGAAGATAATTTAAAGCAGGAGGTGAGAGGTCTGTCAAACAGGACTATGAAACATTGATGGAAGAGACTGAAGACACAAAAGAGAAAAAAGACATTTTATTTTCACGAATTAGAATGTTGTTCAAAAGGTCCATACTACCAAGGTCTTGTACCAATTTTATGGTTCCAATTTTAAGGTTCCAATGACATTTTTCACATAAAGAAACAACCAAAGTTCCCATGGAACCAGAAAAAAAAAAATTACCAAAGCAATCTTGAATACAGAGCTAGAGGTGTAAATGTTCGATAATTTCAAAACATAACACAGCCACAGTAATTAAAACTTCTGTTGAGACTTTCTAACTTTTCACTTGTTCCAAGCACATTCATAAGTGTTCATCGAAGCAAACTGTAGGACAGTTAATGTATAATTTTTGTCAGATAAGTCTTAATTTATATTATCTTGGTATTGGTATCTGTGGATGATTTTATTCAATTTGAGATCTTCCTGGTTCTTAAAAAGATGACTTATTTCTGAATGAAACCTGCAGTTATTAAAATGCTCATGTCTGTATTTTTATCTTGCTGTACCAACCTCCCCTGATACCACTCCCCTGAATGAAGAGCAAATGTCACCTAGTCACTGCCATGGCCAAATGCAAATCCAGGTTCGTCACTTGATTTCCTGTGATAACCAATTGGAGTCTGCTGTTATTTTGGGGCACAGGTGGAGGCCAGGCTTCTCACTAGACCACTACTGAATTCACCCCAGTAGCTGGGGAGAGGGATATGATGGGAAGCAGCCTTGATGTTGGTCAGGGATGCTAAAACTCCTGACTTCCCACTAAGTGTCTGATGCCACCCTAATCCACCAGAATGAGCATCCCAGCTATGCACACATTCTGCCCTGACAATGGGGGAGAGAAAGCACTTATTATTGTTTAACAGAAAAAAACAACCCTGGCTCTCTGGTTGGTGTTCTCTGTCCCAAACCCAGCAGGGGCCTTGTCATGCCTGGTAAGAGTGGGTCTCACCTCAGCTTTGTTGGCAGGCGTAGAGGGCAGGCCTCAGCTTTCATGGAATGTTTGCTGGCAAGGGCTTATTGTTGACAAGTTTTCCAGCTTTGAGCTCTCCCTGGCCTGCTGTCCAGAGCAAGCTGGCTTTTAGGGGCCTCTGTTTGCTGTTGCCAGCTCCTCCAACACCAGTCTCAGAAAAATGAGTTCCAAAGAGAATCCTAGGGGCTCCCTACTTCTAGTCTGAGGCCCTCAGCCGCCAGCCTGCCTTTTTTCTGTAGCTCTCAGCATCTGCTTTCGTTTTATACATAATGTCCAAGGTTTCTTAGTTATACTTAGTGACAGTATTAGGCCTTTCTTCACCTTCTGAACAACATTCTTGAATGCTCATTAGGGTAGCCACTCAATCTTGTGTACCCCCAGCCTGTAGTGGCTCATGAACTTGAGTTTCTAGGTACCCAAGGTTTCAAAATACCAGAATAAACCATGTAACTTATTCATTTATTTTAATTCATACCAACCCTCCCATATGGTATGAC